GTACACCTTCTATCACAGATCCGAAGGCAAGACATTCATTGCTAAGAATGGATCCTTTCTAGAGAAGGAGTTTCTCTCGAAAGAAGTGAGTGGGAGGAAAGTAGAACTTGACGAGGTAACTGTACCTGCTCCCTTACTGGAAAGTAGTACGTCACAGAAAACTGTTTCAGTGACACCTACACCAGTTAGTGAGGAAGCTAATGATAATGATCATGAAACTTCAGATCAAGATACTACTGAACCTCGTAGATCAACCAGAGTAAGATCCGCACCAGAGTGGTACGGTAATCCTGTTCTGGAAGTCATGCTACTAGATCATGATGAACCTACGAACTATGAAAAAGCGATGGTGAGCCCAGATTCCGCAAAGTGGCTTGAAGCCATGAAATCTGATGGGATCCATGTATGAGAACAAAGTATGGACTTTGGTTGACTTGCCCGATGATCGGCAAGCAATTAAGAATAAATGGATCTTCAAGAAGAAGACTGACGCTGATGGTAATGTTACTGTCTACAAAGCTCGACTTGTCGCGAAAGGTTTTCGGCAAGTTCAAGGGATTGACTACGATGAGACCTTCTCACCCGTAGCGATGCTTAAGTCCGTCCGAATCATGTTAGCGATTGCCGCATTTTATGATTATGAAATTTGGCAGATGGATGTCAAAACTACATTCCTGAATGGATTTCTGGAAGAAGAGTTGTATATGATGCAACCGGAAGGTTTTTTTTCGATCCAAAGGGAGCTAACAAAGTGTGCAAGCTCCAGCGATCCATTTATAGACTGGTGCAAGCCTCTTGGAGTTGGAATAAACACTTTGATAGTGTGATCAAAGCATTTGGTTTTATACAGACTTTCGGAGAAGCCTGTATTTACAAGAAAGTGAGTGGGAGCTCTGTAGCATTTCTGATATTATATGTGGATGACATATTACTAATTGGAAATGATATAGAATTTCTGGATAGCATAAAGGGATACTTGAATAAGAGTTTTTCAATGAAAGACCTCGGTGAAGCTGCTTACATATTAGGCATTAAGATCTATAGAGATAGATCAAAACACTTAATTGGACTTTCACAAAGCACATACCTTGACAAAGTTTTGAAGAAGTTCAAAATGGATCAAGCAAAGAAAGGGTTCTTGCCTGTGTTACAAGGTGTGAAGTTGAGTAAGACTCAATGCCCGAGCACTGCAGAAGATAGAGAGAAAATGAAAGATGTTCCCTATGCTTCAGCCATAGGCTCTATCATGTATGCAATGCTGTGTACCAGACCTGATGTGTGCCTTGCTATAAGTTTAGCAGGGAGGTACCAAAGTAATCCAGGAGTGGATCACTGGACAGCGGTCAAGAACATCCTGAAATACCTGAAAAGGACTAAGGATATGTTTCTCGTATATGAAGGTGACAAAGAGCTCATACGTTGTTCCCTTTGTCATCGGTATGTTACTTGCCCGAGATTCGATCGTCGGTATCCTATACCTAGTTCAATCTCGTTACCGGCAAGTCTCTTTACTCGTTCCGTAATCCATCATCCTGCAACTAACTCATTAGTCGCAATGCTTGCAAGGCTTATGTGATGTGCATTACCAAGAGGGCCCAAAGATACCTCTCCGACAATCGGAGTGACAAATCCTAATCTCGAAATACGCCAACCCAACATGTACCTTTGGAGACACCTGTAGAGCTCCTTTATAATCATCCAGTTACGTTGTGGCGTTTGATAGCACACAAAGTGTTCCTTCGGCAAACGGGAGTTGCATAATCTCATAGTCATAGGAACATGTATAAGTCATGAAGAAAGCAATAGCAACATACTAAACGATCGGGTGCTAAGCTAATGGAATGGGTCATGTCAATCAGATCATTCAACTAATGATGTGATCCTGTTAATCAAATGTCAACTCTTTGTCCATGGTTAGGAAACATAACCATCTTTGATTAACAAGCTAGTCTAGTAGAGGCATACTAGTGACACTCTATTTGTCTATGTATTCACACATGTATTATGTTTCCGGTTAATACAATTCTAGCATGAATAATAAACTTTTATCATGATATATAAGGAAATAAATAATAACTTTATTATTGCCTCTAGGGCATATTTCCTTCAGTAGGCTCGCGAGGAGGCGGAGAGATCAATGCAAGGGTACCTCGCGAGGATCCCATGACGCAAGCCATGACGATCAAGGCCAGGCGGGCGCCAGGTGGGTGTCGGCCTGCGCAGGGTCCTTATTTCTCCTTTGGTGCAAAGGGGGCAAGCACAGACCAAGGTATCAGGCAAAGATTACCATTCCGGTGCAACGAGACCAAGACCAACCGGACGGCCGGACGGAGGTCACCGTGGAGCCCAAGACGGCGTCATCACCAGTGCTTTTGGCAGCCGAAGACCACCTTTGGTCAGGATAACTTGTACTAGAAGTTCCCCTTCAAAATGGCCAAATGTTGGCGCCCTTCCCGCTCAATTATTCGGGGAGAGGCCCAGGGCCTCTATATATAGAGCTAGCCTCCACAAAGGAGAGGGAAAGAGAGGGGAGAAAGAAAGAAAAGAGGGGAAAAGAGAGGAAGAGAGAGGAGAAAACCCGGTAGAGACTAAGTAGAACACACCGCACCAGCTCAAGAACACCCCTCGCGTGGCTGTTCTTCCCTTGTATTGTCCATCATCAGCCCCAGAGACAATCCACCACACCACACACTGAAGTAGGATATTACACCACAACGATGACCCGAACCAGTATAAACCTCGTGTCTCTTGTGTTGCTCATCATTTTCTTCTTAGTTCGCACGAGAGGATCGGACGTAGATCAGTAGGAGAGAGATCTCCGCGCGCACCTCAATGCTCGAACCTCAAGGATCTGCCAAAACCTGAAATCCGACAAGCTCATGCACTAAACGATACTCATTTTAGTAGTTACTTCCGTGAGCAAGAGGCATGCATACGTACCAGATGTAGCATGTATATAAATCCTATAACTAGTACTTGCGGTAGAGTACAGCTATTGACTTTTCTTGCGAGTGAATATAGCTATTGAATAGAGCAGCTCATTCCATAGCAGACTTAAATTTTAAAGAACAAATGTTTTTTATGACCAATTCATCCAATATGGGTAGTTTTGTTGGAGAGTGGAGACGTCCAAGATGATTTAAGCCTAAGATTAGAACTTAATTGCATTGGACAGAAATTAAACATTGCTGGCACCTGCCCCTCCTTCGCGGTCCCAATCGAAATCGACAAGATCGCGCGGCACCAACGGAGAGGAAGGACAAGCCACCGTCGGTGTCGTGTTTTGCTGCTCGTCGTCGGTCACGGATTTTCCAAGGTATGTAAGAGAAGATGGGGCATGTACTGTGCCTGCTTCAAAATCCTCCTTCCGATACGCTGGTTTCAAAGAGGAATCAGAGCAGCAGAGACTGCATTTCCTTGCCATTTTTTCCCCATGGGATATATGCCTAATATGTGTGCTTCTGTTCCTGCAGGTCTCGTGCCTCGATTTTTTGATTTCCTACATGAGGAAGTGTACAGCCGTGACTTCTGCCTGTGTTTGCACGTTTCAAATGGATTTATTGGTAAGAACTCTTTGTTCTGAATTGCAGTAGATGGATGACTAGAACAGATACGGTACTTCTACTGTTTATTAGTTCCATCATCATCAGATTTTGATCTATTGGGTGACTGAATTTTATATGGACACATCCTATCTTAGAAGCAGAGGAACTGATAGCACCTTATACACCTTGTGGCCTTGTAGGGCTGTGACTGGTTTGGTTCCAATTGAGTCGACGGTGAACGATACGGTGGAGAAGGGCGCAATCCCAAACAAGAAACAACCCAAGCCTCCAGGCTCCAGGATTGATTGGTAGGTGCTGTAGATCGCTATACAATTTCTTTTCTCTGAATTTCTGTACTTCTGTTGTTAATTAGTTCCACGGTCTTGTTTTGATCTCAGGAGTGAAAATTGGCGACTAGATTTTATATGGACACATCCTATCCTAGAAGCAGAGGAACCGAGGAACTTCTACCTCCTTAAACACCTTGCAGGGCCAAATCACCAACTTCATCATTAACTTCTGAACTATACTGGCTTTTCACCAGCAAACAATGGTAGAAACCACACAAGCTACCAAATGCACGCCAACATATAGCTGAAAACAACTTCGATTCTTCCTGGGGTGCTAATGCTTGCCCGGCAATCAGAAGATGCAGACAGATCGTGGATCGCACATGCTTAATCTGCATAAACCTCTGCTTCAAGTACCTAAGGCAGGCATTAGTGCAACAGCTACTCAGCTGATCTGAAGCAACGGATGCCTACATTGCATTTAAAGGTAACTATATCATGACACCCACCAATTCATCTTTGAGTCACAGAACCCAATCAAAACATACTTAAATCACACTCTACATTAATAAGAAGTCAAATGTGTGCACAAACATTGCACTTATTACATGAATACATATGATGTTCGATACAGAGGAAAGCCACACAAATTCAAATCCAAGCATAGATACAACCATGTACGCCCAGTCAGAGTCACAAGGCATCCATGTGGAGAAAGTAAACACACATACTTAGTTGTACAGCAGCAAGAAATTAACACACAAGCAGAACAGATTGCAATCCACACTAGCACATGCAAACCACACTATGGGATCAAAGGAGAAGAGGCCCTTCCAGCGTCGAACCTGTTTCTTTCCAGCAGAAAGAGAATATTGCAGCATCGTCATCGTCCTCTTGTTCATCTCCTTTTCCTCAGCCTTAAAGTTTCTGGCCCATAAATTTAAGGCTAAGCTTGTTTTTATGCTTTTTGATGCCCTCTCTCACCTCATTGGGGACTTGACCACCGTTGAACTCGAGCTCCTTCAAACTGGGAAGTTTGTGGATACTGGAGAGGGATGTGAAAGATGACCAGACAATCTTCTCGAGCCTAGGAGCAGATCCGCTGGTGAAGACGATCTTGGTGATGGCCGAGCAGTCAACAATAAGATGGTTGAGCCATAAAAACTCATCTTTTTTTTAATGTAATCTCGTTCTGCATTCCACCAAAAGACTTGTCCAAGAGCACCAAACAGCGTAGATTTGCTTTGTTGGCGAGTATTTGTAGAGCATCTTGCTCTAGCAATGTACCACGAAGAGTCAGCTTGGCTATTTGTGTGGCATTATCAAATGATGATAGCAACCTGCCGCTGAAGCTGTTGTTCAACTCAAGTTCTTTCAGTTTTGGAAGGCAGTCAACTCCAGAAATAGAAACTATGCAGGTGAAAGACAAAACCATCTTCTCAAGCTCACAGGCTGTTCCAACCTCAAAAATGATATTCAAGTCCGAGCCCTCAACAAGAAGGCACTTGAGGCATCTGAATTCGCCCTCCTTGAAGTTGAGCATGGTCCTGGTGCATGTAATGTGTTGGAGCCTGACACATCGTAACTTGGGCAGCTTGGCAAGGGCTTCCAGATCATCTTGGCTTAGCTGGGTGCAACTTAGAGTTACCTTGGCAAGTTTGTTGTTATCACCTTTTGTGAACAATGGAAGAAGACGTCCCTTCTGTGTGGTTCCCCTGATGCTTAAACTCTCAAGCATCTTGGGATGGTTTTTTAAGAGAGAGGCAATGCCATCTGGTAACTCTTCGCTTGATGTGGCTACCAGAACACTAGCAGTAATTGTCAGAGAACAGAGGGACTCATGTAGGCCACTGATTGTATGAAGCAAATTCCTGAGGTGCCTATCCTTATCATCAATAACCACACCTAGCTTCCTCAGCTCACATAGCTTTCGAATATGTTTTAAATCATGACTATGCTTGGCCTGGACATTAGATAGGATCTCCATGTTTACCATTTTGTCGATCCTACGAGGAATCCGACCACTAGAGCCGAAATTGCTCGCATTCAGATCAATGTGACCAGCAAGCAGACGCTTCAGCTTCAACAGCAGGATATTTGCCGTTGCATGTCGAGGCACCTTGGTTTGTCGGATATCCAATACCTCTAGCTCGTGGAGGTTATTGATTTCTATAGGTAGCTGGGTAATATCTGTTCGTCTTAGGCTCAGATACTTGAGTAATATCATCTTGCTGCAAATGTCCCGGAGGTACTGCCGGTTCCCAACAAAGCACTGACATCCTTCTAGATCTAGCACCTTGAGCAGGGATACTTTAGAGAGCCCCTGGAAAAAATTATCAATTCTATGATAGCCACGGAGTTGGAGGTCGTTGAAAAGGGAGAAGTGGTGAGCCAAGTGGTGTGACAGGCGTGTCTCCACGATGTGTTGTTCTCTGGCAATGGTGGTAATGAATCCATGAATTATATCATCTACAATGCAGGTCTTTACATCTCCCTTGGCACCAATATCAGCAGGATAAACGAGACACCGATCAATGAGTGAGTCAAAACATGTGTTGGCCTGATGCACAGAACGGGCCCAATCTTCATGGGATGTCAGCCCTTCGACAATCCACCGTCCAATCAAGGTTGACCGCCTAATCTTGTGTCCCGGAGAGAAGATAGCTAGGTACAACAAGCAGGACTTGTATTTTTCAGGCAGATCGTTGTAAGAGAACTTGAACATTGCCTCAGTGATGCTGGTGAGTGATTGTGGCAAAGCCTGCAGGGTGCTGCGCAGCTTGAGTAACTCCTCATTGCTCCTTATGGGGTTAGCATACAGAGCATGAGTGAAGATCTTCATGCAGAATTCATATGGATCACACTCGTACAAGATATCATGAAAAATTTGGGGGTTGTAGCTGTCTTGATTCTTCTGCTGGCTAGTCAGATGGAGCACTCTATCATGGTAGAGGCCAGCAAGAGAATAGTATATAGGTTCTCGCTGTGGATAGCAATATTCTTTCGCCAGCTGGATGTCCCTTGTGGTGGTGACCATCATTAAATCGGCGCTGCAGTTCAAGCTCAAAGCATTTCTGGTATCCTCCCATGTGGCAACATCCATGGGCTCATCAACTTTGACGATAAACAGGGGACATTCATAACTATTGAACTCTGGAAGATAATTCAAGTTATGTTTAATCTCATCCACTAACCCTTTGATCTTGAGCTGCTCTTTGAACTCCTGCTTTATTTTGTCTATCATCTGACCAATTTGTTCAGAAACACATTCTGGGCTTTGATTTGGAACACCACTAGATTCAACTGTCCCTTCACTCTTGTCATACTCGCCTTTCTGTAGCTCCCGTAAGATGCCTTCCTTTGCGTTGTGGATCATAGGTTTGATTTGATCCTCACCTAATTCAGCCGTTGTGGTGTTTGTAGCTTGCTTGTCCGACAGTCTGTCCTGAGCCTGCAGGGGCTTGCTGCTACTGCAGCTCGTGCAGAAGAGCTTCCACAGGATGTGTGCATATTGTGCCTCGTCGAGGTGAATCAATGTTGTCTGGTGACTTCCGAGTTCCGCTCCTCCATATGCTCCTTAAGCTTCTTGACAATGATGCTATTGTTGCTGTTGTCCCATTCTGGTAACATTTGCATGTCATTGTTCTTCCCTTGGTCTTGTTGAGACGCAGCAACAGCTGCCTGGAGCAGCAGCTGAAGGAGTACGTCTAGGTCCAGCTGATCAAACTCACCCTGCAGCTCGTTGCCCATTGATTGCCCGTCGCCCCTCAGTAGTCGACCTTGAATATCACTTTTGATTTTGTCAAGCTTTTCATAAATCTTCATCTCTTCCATGTTCTCCTTGATTTTAAGAAGAGCAAGAGCCCTCTTCTTTTCACTGTGAATTTGATTGTAAATTTGGAATTTTCTTACGTGAACTTCCAAAGGGTCAAGATACCTCTTCCTCACTCTGCCTTTTGTGCTTTGTCTGAGCTCGCGCAGAATGTAGAAGAGAACTTCCTTGGGTCGTAGCCGCGTAAACTTGGGGTGCACGGCCGGGATGTCAACCAAGACAAAGCGATTGTAGCCACTCTCCACCCGCAAAACCGAGGAATGGGAGTCGAGGTCTGAGTCCGACGAAAAAACCAAATATTCTTGTATAAGAGCCGGGAGGTCCTGATAAGTGTCCGGTGCCACAAGGACGACGGACAAAGTCTCGCCAGCATCTGTAGGAGTTCCATCTATCCAATCGCGTAGCTTTGCCTTGACGTAGTCGTCCAAAGTGCGAGGCTCAATGAAGGCTCTTCGAGGATCAGAACAGGCTGATCCCTAGCAGCATAACCACCTCGCACAGCAGTCCGTGCTGAAGGTGCAGCCCACCTGGCCAGGTGCACCAGGAAGCTCTTCATGCTCTCCATCTCGTCCTTGATAAACTGCACGTCGTGCCGGACGCCACGCAGTAGCAGCGCCTCGCTGCGGATGACGACCAACAGCGAACTCACGGCGCCGGTGGCGAGCTCAGCCATGGCCCCCTCTCCTTCCGCCGGCCAGATGCCTGGCTGGTGGTTTCTACTCTAGTTGAATTGGTCCCGCCGGGGGAGGTTAGCTAAGCTGGGTGGTGGCGATGACGCACACATGCATGGGAGAACCATAGAATGTATGATGTTTTCTCATGGGAGAACCACCGAATATCTTGCCTGAAGAATGGTGTCGTCAAGGGCGTTCACATGCTGTGCACTGTCACATTGGCTGGCTGCATTTACTGCCTCAATTGTCCAAGGTACCCGAGCCACCAGATGCCGGAAATCTTGTCGGTGGATGGAGAAATTGATGGGGGTGTGCAATGATCCGGGTGGTGACTATGATGCACACATGGGAGAACCTCTCAGGAATGTATGATGTTGTCTCATGGGAGAAACACAAAATATCTTGACTTGACGAACGGTGTCGTCAAGGGCGTTCACATGCTGTGCATTCCCACATTGGTTGGTTGCCTCAACTGCCTCAAGTGTCCAAGGTACCCGTAGATGCGGAAATGCTGTGGATGGATGGAGAAATTGATGGGGTGTGCAATGATCCGGGATCGGCTCATGACGATTGAGTACACCCACTTGCATACATATTTTTTGAAAAGTCAAACATCACCAACTTTGATCAAGTTTGTGTAGAAAAATATTTACATCTAGAATGTCAAACATATAGCATTAGATTCATCATAAGACTTAGTTTTATATTTTATATTTTTGGTATGGCAGATAAAAATAGTTTTCTCTATAAACTTAGCCAAAGTTTGACTTTTTAGAAAATCAATACACACTACATTATGAAACAAAGGGAGTAGTACAAGGGTCGGTAGATGGAGAAATAGATGGGTTGTGCAATGATCTTGGGATCCAGCTCATGACGATCAAATGCTAGTGGTACGGATGTCGGTGGATAGAGATACTGATGAGTGTGCCACTACCACATGACCTTTTGTTTAAACTTGCTCCCTCCGTTTCAAAATAGGTGTCATGGTTTCAAATTTGAACTAAAACCACAACATTTATTTTGAAATGAAGGGTTTAATTACTCACTCGTTTCTTTTTACTCCACATATCAAGTTTGTCTTAAAGTCAAAATTTGTAAACTTCAACCAGATTTATAAAAAATATCAACATCTACATTATCAAATAAATGGAATATGAAAATACATTCCATCATAAATCTATATTGATTGGGTATTGTGAATCAAATAAATGGAATATGGAATATGAAAACTCCCGTGGCCGCGCGTATCATGGTGGCGTGCATGTACCTGTCATTGTGCTCTGCTCGCATATCACCACTAGTAGAAAACGGAGCTTTAGCGCCGGTTCGTAAGGGTTTTTAGTGCCGGTTCCATAACCGGCACTAAAGCTCCCCCCCTTAGTACCGGTTCGGCACGAACCGGCGCTAAAGTGCCACCACGTGGCGTGAGCTTGCGCCCTGGTATGGGGGACCTTTAGTACCGGTTTGTGTTACCAACCGGTAATAAAGGTTTTTTTTATTTTTTTTTTGAAAATTATGGATTTTTTTATTTTTAATTTTTCTGAATTATTTGATGATTTAGTCTCTAATCACCTCTCTTAACTGCTCAAGTGTGGATCACTCATTCCAAATCGCCTGACTTCCCGGCCGGTCACCCATCCTCTCACTCCCCCAGCCTGAGCACACTTAACTTCGGAGTTTTATTCCCCCTACATTCCAAGTCTGCATTTGTTGTTTTCCTAACAAATGTAAGCTGTCAATCCTATTAACCCTCAACAGTTTATCTTGAGCATTAGGTCACGCGTTTCACCGTTTGAGTTTGAAACTATTATTCTAAAAAATAGTAATTATAGTAACACTAATATTTCTTGAATAAGTTTGACCATAGTTTGACCACAGTTTGACTATACTATGACCAGATTTGACCAAAATTTAAAAAATTGAAATAATTATTTAGTAACACTAATATTCTTGAATAATTATGTAGTAACATTAATACTTCTTGAACAAGTAGTTTGACCAGATTTAACCAATTTTTTTAAAAAAACTGAAATTTGACCATATCTTTTTTTTCCTTTTGGAATTTGAGGATTCTAAAAAATTGCAAACAGGCCGTAGGCGGTCTCCATCGGATGCGGATTTTCGTGCTGAATTTTTTGATATATTATACATTTTTTCTGACATCGTATGCAAAAGTTATAGCCGTTTTACATTTTCCCTATATTTTTTGCAAAACAGGTCAAAATTTAAGTTTTCAAATTTTCCTAACTAGTAGATGTAGTAATATAACTACCTCTCGAAGGATTTTATTTTTTGAAGTTTTTATCATTTTCTTTTGATTTTTTCA